AGACTCCATATGTCATACCAACTCAACCTTCATTACCGCACCAGACAGTGAGTGTTGGCGATGACCTAAGTTGTGCCAAAAGTATAGTTTCGTGTTATAATTGCGGGTCAATGGGTCACAGGGGCGACGAGTGTAACACTCAGGCCCAGGAAGAGGCCAATAGATAATTGCAATGTTCTTAGATTTATTAAGTTTACACCCCTATGTACATATGGTTTCATATAATTACCGGTACTGTATATATACCGTATATATTATACATACAATAATATATGTCATATTTTATTGTAAATTCAATTTAATGTAACATCAAATGAGTTTCAGTTATATCACAAGATATCGTCACTTCTCATCCATAGATATAACTTAAGTAATGATTGATTTAAGATTTTTAATATCAGGTGAAAATAGGATACTATTTGTTATCCATTACTGAATACTCTTCACTCTCTATCAGTTGTGAATCGCCTTTAATTTATATGAATTGATGACTAATATAAGTGTTGATCGGTTTGAATACCTGTACAAAGAAAAGATTTGATAGACAAGTGGCGAAGTTGTTAAACTATTGTAAACATTATGTAAAAACAAACCAAAAGTGGTAATTTATTGCAAAATTACGTAAGAATTATGGCTTGAGATAAACTTAATTAGGTAGCAAAATATGCCATTCCTTTTAGTTTATTAAATATCTTAATATAAATCAAATATGCATTCAATTAGAGTACGTATAGCACAGTAACAGAGAGGGAGAGAGAGAGAGACTGTCGACTCGAATCCAAATCTAATGCAATTCTAATCAGAATTATATCGAAACAAAAATGTAAGGAAAAAGTGAAAACTTTTTAAACAAAAAAATGTGTGCTTTTAATGTAAATTAATTTGTAAAACAACTGTAATGTATGCAAAGCATTGAAAAATAGCGATTTTAAAACTAAATTATTGCTCGGATTTATGATAAAATAACGAATTGTTTTATTGTATACAAAGTCTTTAATTAACAAACGATTACTTAATGATTATTTGACTTTTTCTTTCGATTACCAGTCGGTCGTCGCGTTTCATTCGGATTAACGGTTCGCCGAATATTTGCGTTAATCCGAGAGCTTCTGCTGTAGACGTCGTTAATCGCAAAGGGATTCAATCGATTCACATAATCGGGGTCTTTGAGTATATTCTGCGTCAACACGGGAAAAAAGAGTAGCTAACGTTTGAATCAGAAGGCGACAACACCATAGCCGACTAGGCGGTGTTCTTAGCCTAATAAGCTCACGAACGGTCGGAACCCACACCCGTCACTTATCGCAGTGCCTCTGATATTAATGGGTTTCTTGAAGTTTATGTGAACCTCTTTAGTCCCGTCATCCCTGACGGTCAGCGCCACGCGTTTTAAAGTCTTCAAATTACCGCAATTGTGGCAAAAATCATTGCATGTCTTTGTGCTGATCTTAAGGCACGCGAAACATCGAAACACAAACTGTTTTGTGGATCTAATCCGAAGTCCGTCCTTAATGTTAATCACTTTCAATCCCATCTGCAATAAGACGTTTTGCATCGCATAGTCTCCGGTCAGACACCCGACCGACACCACTTCCTCCACTTCGTCGTCCACTTTCATTCCCATCATTTGTCTTCTAATCTCTTCCACATTATGAGGTGTAATCCAACCCTCCTCTGAATCCTCTTCTTCCTCCTCTTCGCCATCGCTTCCAATCGCTTCTTCGGTCACCTCTTTTGCATTCTCCGCACAATTGCCTTCGCTTTTAGTATCATCCGATTTGTCATCATTTTTATTGACATAAAACCCAACCATTGATTCATTTGCTTCCGAATGAGTCTTCTTCAAGACTTGTGTCACTTGTGGCTCATGTCTGATATGTTTGTCTCCATTCACCTCTTTCTCGAGTCTTAGCGTCAGAGCAATCACTTTGAGATCAGTTGCCGACAACTGACAGTAATCGCCGGTCTTTTTGGCGAAACTGATGACAGCTTTAATGTCCTCTTCGGATGGCTCTCTGTATTTGAGTTCATAAGCGATGAACTGAAGTCTGTTTCGTGTGTTTTGGTCTTTGATCTCATCGACCACTTGCGGCAGAGTATAGATCTTTTCGCCCAAATCCTGGATCTGAGTGCCGGCTATGAAGGCCCCCGAGTCCACCACCAAATGACTCACTTTCTTCTTGTTCAACATTGGATCCAATTGAAGATTATGCACACAAATGTATCATGGACATTTAACACACATGTGTTTAAAAGCCATTCAATGAACACATTTTCACGACAACCAGAGTCTGATTGAGTGCATAGATGTCACCACAGGTTCCGTATGTGAACTCAATTGTCAGTCAATTATCTGCAGCCCCTGTAAAGCAGTCTTCTCTGTATTAAAAACTTTACAAATATTTCACAATCTATTTATTGTTCAGTAATTATGTACTCATTTGAATGGCCCCCACATGTGGCACTCATTTCAAAATATTTGTCATTTGGTTATATCGACACAATATTTCAATTTATTTCATAACTTTTATCATCAATTTTATTACTAAATGGGTTTTTACTAAAAATTTAGCCAAAAATATGAAAATAATAGCCAAGAAAGTGATGTAAAAGTTAGCCGTGAAGTGGACGTCATTGTCGAGTATGTGATGAGAGAAATAGGCGTTACTTAAGGATACGATTGCATTGAAGTGAATGAATGACTGAACGAACGACTGATTAGTGAATGAATTGATTGCTCAATGTTCTCAGTTTGCGAGTTAACCAGCGATTGGATTGAGTGTTGAGTTGACATGAATTGCGTGAATGCATGACAAGTGAGACATTGGTGTCAATGCAGTGACCAGTGATTCAGTGGACACTCCATCATATGATTAGACATTGAATGCAATGAGTTGTCAATGAATGGCAAAACAGATGCTCTGATCAGTGAATGCCTAACAGTTTGCGTGATTAAGGCGTCGTTGAAGTAGTGGTGGCCGAAGATCACCGAAGATCACGTGATCCGCAGCCATGACATCGTCGGACTTGCGGTCGTTGGAAGCGCTGATGAATGAGTTCTTTCACTCGTCGACCACTAATGACAGGAAACGAGAGATTGAAGTGATTTTGAATGAGTTCTCCAAACGCGACAACAAGCCATGACATCGTCGGACTTGCGGTCGTTGGAAGCGCTGATGAATGAGTTCTTTCACTCGTCGACCACTAATGACAGGAAACGAGAGATTGAAGTGATTTTGAATGAGTTCTCCAAACGCGACAACTCTTGGGATGAATGTCTGCAATACTTGAGCCAAACGGACAATGAGTACACTTTGATGTACTGCCTGTCCGTCTTGGAGAACGTGATTGTCATGCGATGGCAGTCGATGGGGGCCCTCAAGAGTGACAAACGGACGGCTGTTTGGAACTACTTGTTGGCGAACAACCAATCGATGGCCCAATACTTGAGGAATAAGACGGCGAAGTTGTTGGTGACGATCGCGCGCATGGATTGGCCCAACAGTTACCCCGATTTCATGCAGAATGTCTTGGATTTGCTGCCATCGCGAGCCACCACTCCATTGGGTGTCCTGTTGCTGAAGACCACGATCGAGGAGTTGAGTCAATCTCGTGATGACGTCTGCGCCCAACGGAAGGCAGAGCTCAACAAACTCTTGGAGTCGGAAATGCCTAACATTTGGATGTCTTTGACGAATCTAATGGAACTCATACTCGACAAACACTGCAACTTCTTGACCGCAACGCCTCCCCCTTCGCCCTCTCAGAGCCCTAATTCAGACTCAAACCCGTCTCTCAACAAAGGTTTGTATCCATCCATTCATCCCTTATATGAAAGTCACTTAATTTGCTTCTCTTTTCCAGACGTCTTATGCAATGCCTTTGAATTAAGTCTTCGCAGAGGACTTCTGCAGACAATTCCAGACATGGACTCGGAATCAATTCAGATATCGTCGGAAGTGTTGATATGTTTGTCGCAATTGTTTGCTTTCATGCCATTAAGTCTTTGCTATCAAATAAGTCACTCGACATTAGCGGCGGTCTTCGTGTTCGCCACCTTCGGGTGCAACCACTCGGTGGCCGCGAGTTGTCATAAACAGAGTTCCACTCAATTGGCAGTTCTGGCCATGAATTGCATCAACGAATTGATAGCCAAGTGTTCAACGAATAGCGAAACAAATGAATTCATTTACAATATGTTTCAAAACACATTCCACTTATTGAGGAAATTGACGAAAACTAATGAAATGAATGGTCAGACGAATGGCTCGCCCTTCTCGAGCTTCGACGAGGAATATATGAGTAAATTCACGGAATTTCTCAGATTTTTCATTAGCGGACATTTGCCGCGATTCGAGAAAATGCCCACATTTCCTATAATGGAGTTCTTGGGACTCGTGTTTGAGTATACATTCAAACAAACCAATTGTGATTCGTTTCTCTCAGCCCTAGAGCTCTGGAATATATTCGTTGATTACCTGAGCGTCAAAATCAAGCAACAAAACGATGAGAAACAAGTGAACCTAATCGTCGGTACCTATAAAGAGCCGATTGTGTCTCTATTAGTGCAGTTGAGTCGAAAGATTGAGTTTAAGTACAATGCGAGAGATTTAGACAAATTAGATAACGAGAGCTTAGACGACGACTTCTTGACTGAATGGCAACATTATTCACACAATTGTATTGAAGTGATGGCAAACATAGCGGATATATATCCGTTGGAATGCTATGAAATTGTCAGTGAATTCCATAACCAGAACTTGCAGTCGTTTTTTGGTTTAGAGCACTGCTTGGAAACCAATCAAAACAGTGAGACAATTGGTCTGCAGTTATCGGAAACAGATGTGTATAGACTTCACTGCACTTTACGTGATTTGTCGACCTCTTTGCGACTCGTGGGCCGTTTGGCCGATCACTTCACGAGTGAGAACTTTAACCGTTGGTTCGTTTCGACCAAATCGTTGATCGAAAAGCTAATCCAAGCCTTAATTTTCTTCAATAAACACAAATTCCATAAACAGAAACACCTCTCAAATGAATTCATCGATGTTTGCGCTCAACTCATGGCAACCATCAAAGCCTATAGTCATTGGTTGCAGAAGTTCTGCAACGAAGACCAGACAAGCAATGAGAGTGTTGTCATCATATCAGCCATCGTTGAGAACTGTATCCAAATATTATGTGATAATAACAACGACACGAATCAGATGATGAGTCACAGCGCCGGACACCTACTCTATTCGGTGTCCACTACTGTGCGACCAATTTATCTCTTGACTCTGGAATGCGTCCAAATGTTGTTCACCAAAGTCTGTGCTCTCGTCCGATGCCATAACACATCCAATGGCTTCGAGACGAACGCCTTTCCAAGCATTTGTGTTGAGGACGAGAAGATTATATGCCGTTTCATATCTAATATAATTTTGCTTCCGTGGCTTAACCTCAACAACGACTCCTCGCAGAACTGGGAGTCGAGGACAGTATATCACGACATGTTTGTTGAGGCCATTGTCGAGCCCTTCAAGTGCACCAATACCCCCATCAATGGATCGCAAACACTGAATACTACACAACTGTGCCATTCGTTGGCTCTCTTGAGTGATATCGTGGACAACCATAAGGAGTCTCCGACGCGAACCAAACAGTTACTCCTGAAGAGCATTCAGAGCTCTTTGGAGTCGTTCATCAATTTATTTCCCACTTATTTCACGAATGCTATGATTGCCGAGAATTGTCTCAATTTGTTTATTATAGTCTTCGATGTCCTGCGAATTCAAATCAATTTCCAATTCGTTGAGAAAACTATTCAATTAATGCTTAAACTTTTCTCGACTAATCAGTCAAATGGTATGACCTGTGAACCCCTCTCTACAAAAGTGATCCCGAAGTTTTTGAAAATGTTAACACTCATTGTCCAGCAGCCGGGAACTGCTTACAAGTCTCTGTTGCCCGGAATGATTAGCTTTGCTTTCGATCGGATCTGCCCGACGATCGCAAACACCGATTGTCCGCAACTGAAGCGATCTTTATATGAATTTCTCTTTCAATTGCTTTTAAACAATTGGAAGTATTTCTATCCAAACAATGCCATCAGTGGTAATGCATTCAATACAGTGACGAATAGCCAACAGAAGCCGGAAGTGTTGCAGAACGCGGACGCATTCGTGCAGATAATGAATATCTTCGCGCAATCATTCCTCGAGAACGACATAACAGTTTTCAAACATAATTTGGATGCCTTAGAGATCCTCAACACTCGCCTCAAATTATATCAAAAGGAGATTTTCAAGCAAACTATGATTAAACCGTTTCTCTCTCTATTCATTCAGACATTATGTGACAAATCTCTTAATTTACTTCAAGACGACATCTACGCCATTGTCTTCAACATGGCTTCTGTCGATTTTCCTCACTTTTTTAATGTATTTATTCCACAATATCTCTACAATTGTGAACGACTTAATGATTTACAGCGAAACAGTTTAGCCACCAAATACTTGGATCCCAATCACCACGACTTTCCCTGAAAACAATTGTTAAACTTATAAAAAAACTTACTAAATGCTATAAAGTTCTCATATAGTAGCAAACACACGTTATTAATCGGTAAGTAATGCAAATGATTTAATTATTCTTTTAACATTTTATAAGAAAGCATTTATTTTATCCATTTATTTATTACCTAATTCCTTATATTTACAGTATATATGAGTTTTAAATCAATTCATTCTTTGATTACTTTATCATTAATCTGTTGATTAATTTTTCAAAATTGTTTTCTACTTTGAAACAACTTTTTAAGAATTTCTATGAGTTTGTCTTTATATACCTAATTAACTCCAAAACAGTCATATTTTTACTTTATTTAATTCCTAATAATGTTTTAAAATTTTGTATAAGTCTTAACTGAATTCCTACTTTAACTTTGTTTTCAATGAACAGCCAAATCGATGCTAATCAGTGTTTCTTTCAATAAAAATCTTAAATCCTTTGAATTGTTTGTTTTTATTTTACTATTTATGTTATAATAAGTGCAATATATTAAGAAGTTATTGTGTCACTCAATAGTTTGGTTCAGCCTTACTGTACATCCTTATCCTTAATGCCTAAAATGTCTTATTATTTTAGGAAATCGCTTAAAAAGGCTTTTATCACAACTAAAAGTTAGGATATTGTGATAACAACACTGATATGTCATTCAATTGAAAGTGACACTCAATTATCATTTCAATGATTCACGTCTCAAATGTTGATTAATAAATGTAGGGTTTATATAGAATATAATACAATATAATATATTATACAGAATCACTTAATATTAGTCAATTAGCAATGTAAGTACTGCACACAGATGTATACTATCTACTCGGATGTGTACCTCACTCTATGCTTTCACTATCATATTAACTTTGACAGCACAGTGTCTACAAGGCTAGAATAGTGTTGTATTGATACATGCATTATTTAACAACTATGTTAATAATTGGCATTTAAATATTAAAACACTGATCAGAGTGATTTTTATACATAGAGCAAGGTGCAATATAGTTTGAATGAAAATAATTATAATTAAAATACATGAAATAAGAGAAAATAGTAATTATAGGAAATTTGCATACAATCTATTATTGAACTATAAATAAGTGATGACAACAACACATATAACTGTAAATAAATGATTAAAAACCAAAAGTTATTTCATTTCAATTAAACACTCATTTCAATGAAACAAAAGCCAATGTTTTACAAGAAAACACTTCTTGTGTCATAAAAGTGAGTCATTTGGCCATCAATTGATCCAATCGTTTGATTTCATTATCATTTTAATCATATATCATATTTGATGACAAAGCTGTCAAATGTGTGGACAATATGTTTACCATTTTATCATTGATTTTGGTTTAGACCTAACAATCAGTATTTCCAATGGATCTCAACCAAGACATGAGACCAGACATGAGACCAGACATGAGACCAGACATGAGGTCGTCGGACAGGGATCGGATGCACCCGTCATCGCCTCTGAAGTCCATGTCGTTGACGACCGACACGTTATCGCTGAAGACCACCGATTTGGTGGAACTTTTGTTAACAATTTGAATATTTTTTTGAATGATTTACGATATTTCAAGAGTATATCATCGTTTGTGTGCAATAATTAGCCATTCATTACGTTTACTAAATTAATAAGAAAATTGTAAAATATTCTAAGCATTTATTTTATCCATTTATTTATTACCTAATTCCTAATTCCTTATATTTACAGTATATATGAGTTTTAAATCAATTCATTCTTTGATTACTTTATCATTAATCTGTTCATCAATTTTTCAAAATTGTTTTCTACTTTGAAACAACTTTTTAAGAGTTTCTATGAGTTTGTCTTTATATACCTAATTAACTCCAAAACAGTCATATTTTTACTTTATTTAATTCCTAATAATGTTTAAAATTTTGTATAAGTCTTAACTGAATTCCTACTTTAACTTTGTTTTGAATGAACAGCCAAATCGATGCTAATCAGTGTTTCTTTCAATAAAAATCTTAAATCCTTTGAATTGTTTGTTTTTATTTTACTATTATGTTATAATAAGTGCAATATATTAAGAAGTTATTGTGTCACTCAATAGTTTGGTTCAGCCTTACATCCTTATCCTTAATGCCTAAAATGTCTTATTATTTTAGGAAATTGCTTAAAAAGGCTTTTATCACAACTAAAAGTTAGGATATTGTGATAACAACACTGATATGTGATTCAATTGAAAGTGACACTCAATTATCATTTCAATGATTCACGTCTCAAATGTTGATTAATAAATGTAGGGTTTATACAGAATATAATACAATATAATATATTATACAGAATCACTTAATATTAGTCAATTAGCAATGTAAGTACTGCACACAGATGCATACTATCTACTCGGATGTGTACCTCACTCTATGCTTTCACTATCATATTAACTTTGACAGCACAAGTGTATACAAGGCTAGAATAGTGTTGTATTGATACATGCATTATTGAACAACTATGTTAATAATTGGCATTTAAATATTAAAACACCGATCAGAGTGATTTTTATACATAGAGCAAGGTGCAATATAGTTTGAATGAAAATAATTATAATTAAAATAAATGAAATAAGAGAAAATAGTAATTATAGCAAATCGCATACAATCTATTATTAGACTATAAATAAGTGATGACAACAACACATATAACTGTAAATAAATGATTAAAAACCAAAAGTTATTTCATTTCAATTAAACACTCATTTGAATGAAACAAAAGCCAATGTTTTACAAGAAAACACTTCTTGTGTCATAAAAGTGAGTCATTTGGCCATCAATTGATCCAATCGTTTGATTTCATTATCATTTTAATCATATATGATATTTGATGACAAAGCTGTCAAATGTGTGGACAATATGTTTACCATTTTATCATTGATTTTGGTTTAGATCTAACAATCAGTATTTCCAATGGATCTCAACCAAGACATGAGACCTGACATGAGACCAGACATGAGACCAGACATGAGGTCGTCGGACAGGGATCGGATGCACCCGTCATCGCCTCTGAAGTCCATGTCGTTGACGACCGACACGTTATCGCTGAAGACCACCGATTTGGTGGACAACTATCCGGACAGTTATTATATGGTGAATGAGTACCAGAAGTCGATCGGTTCCGCCGCCAATGGACACGTCCGCGAGTTCGTGCCCTACCCTCCAGACATCATCTCCACAACCGTTGAGCGCAGCTCTTCATCCGATTGGGGCTATCAGTCAAAGACGGCTCTCATTAGTCACCAAAACTACCCAAACATTAGATTCAAGAGGAATAGATCGAAATTAAACCGAATGTCGAGTCAGGAAAGTGTTGCCACTAATGACTGCTCCCAAGACTTCAATGGTTTCGACAATCATTCGGTGATATCTCTTCAGTCATTCTGTTCAGGCATTGAATCCAACCATTCAAACGACACGTGCAGACATGTTATCAATACAAACGATGTCTCGACTGAGACCGAAGAGGTGGTTGTGGTCAACGAATACACTCAGGCGTCCATTACTGACGAGACAACGGGTCCTCTCTTTGAGTTGAGGCGAGAGAATGCGAACATTAAAGGAAAGGCCGACCAATTGGATCACATCATGCAAGAGATGGTCAAAGAGAGGTCTGATCTACAGATGAAATTGCATTCAATGGATAAAGAGATAAAACTAAAGAGTGATAAAATTGATGAACTCAACGCTCAAAGAGAATCCCTTTTGAGTGATTGCGAAGAACTGAAGTCCGGAATCCATAAATGGGAATCAATTGTCAGTGAATACCAGGAAGTGGTGGACGCGAAGGCACTCGAGATCCAAGAACTCACTCAAGAGGTGAACAAAATGAGTGAAAACAACACTAATATTCGCATCGATTGCGAACACCTGAAGATTGACAGGAATTCAAATGAGAACCAAATAAAACAATTGAATAAAAAGATTTCCCAAATGAACGCAGAAATCGATTCATGTATTCAAACAAAAGTGAATCTCGAAGAAGAGGTTAAGAGGAAAGTGTCAGAAATGGAAGCGATTTCTGGTCAGAAAGAGTGGTTTGAGTTAGAGTTGAATAAACTGCAGATAAAACTCAACGAAACCCATCAGAAGTTAGTGTCTGAACAGCAGTTATCCATTAGTGCCAGAAATGACTTCGAAAGAGTCCAGACATTGAACTCAGTATTAAAACAGCAATTAATCGAAACAACCCATAAAGCCGTCAAAGAAAAGGATCAATTGATGAGACATTTGGAGGGAATTAATGCCGATTTGATCCAAAAGGAAACTGAAAAACAATTGTTTTCACCGAAAAAAGAAACAATTTTAGTCAACAAAACCGATGAGTTATCGACAGAATTAAAACAGAAATTGTTTGAAAGGGATCTGCAAATTGAGAATTTGAACAAAACTGTGAAACAATTAACGGAAACGAACCAAAGACTAGTCAACGAACAGGATTTGAGTGCAAATAATATAAATTCAACCAAAAAGCAGTTATCCGATAAGGACTATGAGATCCAGACATTGAATTCCTATAATTCTGATCTGGAATTCAAGATCAGAGGTTTGAACATAGATTTGAAGCGACAGAAAGAGTTGAATGATTTGTTGAGAAAAGATAAAAAGGATTCGGAATCCAAACTAAATTTATTGCTGTTTGAAAACAAATCATTAGAAACGGCGACAAAACAATTGAAGGAATCGATTGAAAAACACGAAAGAAGTGAAAAACAACTTCAGAGTAATTTGATCGCAAAAGAGACTAAACTTGATTTACTCGACAAAGAAAAGTCAAAACTATTGAATAGCATTCAGAGTAAAGAACAGGAATTGGCAGCAATTAAGCAAACATTAAGTCCAGAGAAGACTAATGATAATGAGCTGAACTTTTATGAGCTTAGAATCCAGAACCAAGAACTCGAGAAAGTGATGAATACAATGAATACAGAATTGAGAGCCAATCAAATCAAATTTGATGACCAAAAGAATCAGTTCCTAAAAGAAAACTCTGAATTACAGACCAAATTGTCTGAAGAGAGACAGCGATTGGAAACGTTTAAGAAGAATGCTTTTGAAGACAACAATAAAGTTAGAGAATTGACTGAGAATTTAAAGTTATATGAGAATAGATTACATGAATTACAAGTGGAAAACAATTCATTGAAATCTCATGACTATAGAGTTGATAATAGTTCACAAAACGATGAGTTATTAAAAGTGAAAAACGAGAAAATCCGAAGCCTTGAGTCAAATGTGAAGTTATTGACGAAAAAATATAGAGAAATGACTGAAAGAAAGAAGGAATTGGAAGTAAATTTGGCGAAAATTACTGAAAATTCCGCAAATGTCGCCAAAATTCTAGTCTCAACTCAAACCGACGAGTTTGAGGACAAAAGTGATAATTCGGAAGTGATGGTTGAAAATGAAAGACTGAACCGAGAAATCGATGAATTGAGAGAAGATATCCGATCCAAGGATTTAATAATTTCTGAAAATCAAGAAATAATACTGAATTTAGAGCACGAAAGGGGAAAATTGAATCTATCGTCGGAAGTGGGAACAAATGAGCACATCTTGGATTTGAAAGTAATGATTGCCTCCAAGTCTGATGAAGTGAGTGCTTTGACTGAAACCATAGACCAGAAGAACAAAACAATAAAAGAATTAGAACTGAAATTAAGTAAAAGGATTAACGACTTGGAGGGCGATCTCAAGAAGGAAAAGGCTGTCGTTAAAGACTTGAGACATTCCGTGTTTAGTGAGAAACGTGAAAACAGTTACGTTAAGAAAGATTTGAATGAATTGAAGAAATGTTTGTCTGAAACGAATGCAATGGCAGACAAACGCCAACAAGAAGTGATTGATTGTGAGACTGAAATGAAAAGTATTAAAGAGATGGAGAGTAGTGTTCGCAACGAAATGGAAAGAATGGGTAATGAATTGAAATCAACAAAAGAGGAGAACTCGAGGCTGAAGAGCAAACTGGAGAGCTCTGCCAATAGGAACGAACCCCTCTTAGAACAGCTCAAGAATTTGAGTTTAAATCTGTTGGAGAAGAACCAAGAGATCGAAGGAATGAAAATACAATTCAATTCCATTAAAGCGAGATATGATACCGAAATGCAAAGTTTGAGACAACAAATGGAAAGCTATAAAAGTGATGAACAGATCCTTAACAATGAATTGAATGAATTGAGAAAAGTTAAGTTCAATTTTCAGTCGCGTTTCACTGAATTGAGAGTCGCTCTCAAGAATAGTTGTGAACAAAACCAGAAACTCAGGCAACAGTTGGCTGCCTGTCAGGTGGTCTACCAGGAGTCCGATATCAATGAGGAACTTGTGGCCAAACTTTTAGACCAAAGCGTTGACACCACTAACGAAACGAAGTAATGAAAATCTTGAGCCATTTCCAGTCAAATAAATGAACTAAAAATATATTGTTTTCATTTTGCAGACCTTTAGTGAATCTTCAGGCGTGTGTGGACTCATTGAAACAAGAGATGGAATTATTGCAAAAACAAATCTCCGATAATTAGCCCAATATTGTGCACAAAAGTGGATGCATTGAAATTATGAAATCACATCATTTTAAGCCTTAATTTATAAATCCATTGTTAAACTGACGAAAAGTATAGCTTTCAGTGCCTTTTGATGAAACAAAACTATAATCTTTTGATAATATAAACTGTGTTTGTAATGAAATTTCATTTCATTTATGAAATGTAAAAATTCAAATTCTAGTCGACTTTCAGGTGAAATAACTGAAACATGATTTTTTATTTAACTTTTTATTTATTCATAAATTAATATATTTTTCCAATTATTGATTGCTTTTTATGATAAACTTTTAAAACATGTCAAATGGATCCAAAACTAATAAAACTGACGTTCATTTATGTTTGATAACACTCTACTCGGTATCACTTTTATCATTAGTGGAGTGATGGTTACGGAACATATCAGTGATGTAGTCGTTCACCTCATCCTCTTCATCGGAGTCATCGAAATGTCTTCGCGACAAATGCTCTTTGAATGACGACAAACAGTTGGTCCCATATGAGCACTCACGACATTCATAGACCTTCAGGTTCTCGTGCTTTTTGCTCTTTTGGATGTGACGGATGATATCGTTGAGAATATTCCTAATATACCGGCAATAAATGAATAAATGTTTTAATTTATTTAATTTATTGTTATTAAGAAGAAATCAGTCATTTGTGGCACTAATAGATAACTAACTGTTCGGACACTAACTCCTAATGGGTTTCATTGAGTTTTATCTGCATTTCATTCAACTCTCATTCAAACCATTTATTCTCATCGGAAATCACTCCAATTCTCACACACATTCCTCTAACATATTCTTCGAGTTTACCATCAAATAAGATAATATAAGATGAAAAAACTGAAAAAATTACCCAACGTATGCGCAATACGGACACTGTGGAAGATAATAAGACAATTAATTAACCATTTATTCGTATAATTAAGTGTTGATTTGCGCAAACCTTATATTTAGAGTTGATGTGAGCGTTAACGTGGAACTGGAGTTTGTCTTTACTGGTAGTTTTGAACTCACAGTCGGGGAATTCGCACGAAAAGTTTGTACTTTGGGCCGCACTTTGACCCACCCTTCCAGTGGTCGGCAACTTATATGGCATTGAATTCGATGGTTTCGGCGGAACAATGGGATTATGAGTGATGGGAGGAGGAGGAGAATCAGACAAATTGATGATTTCTGGTTCACTGCCATCCGATGAATTGGTGTCATAACTGGAAGTGGTGTTTGCAAAGCGAGTGCTTTTGTTACCCGTACTCTGAGTAGTGGTACGGTTAGCAGTGTATGGTCTGTAAAGGTTGCAACTACTGGTGCCGTTAGTTCTGGTGGTATTAGCAAAAGTGGTGGTTCTTTGAGGCTGTGATGGTTTTGGTGGTTGTGTTGAATGAGTCTGTTGTGAGGGCCGCACATGACTCCCGATATCGACATAAGTGATGGACTGAATGATTCCGTTATGATCTGATTGGTTATGTTGTGTCCATTGACCCAAATGAGTGAAATATGTGTGACATTCGCTGCAAACGATTGGCTGCTCTTTTGTGTGACACTTATAGATGTGGTAATAGATCTCAAGACAATCAAACGATAGGACACAACGCGGACAACAGTAAGAGATACTCTTCCGGATCGAGTCAACCATCGACTCCGAGAACTCATCCAACTTGAAGGCAGTGGTCTGTAAGCGGAACTCCTGTTCGCCGATGCAATGGTTGATGAGATGCAAAAGGAGTGATACCTCGGACTTCAGGTGCGAAGAACAGTCCGAACAAATGAACTCTTGTTCTGTGCTCTCGTTATCTGCTTCTGAGTTCATATCATTCGACGAATTCATGTCAACGTCTTTGCACTGACTGTGAGATCGTTTCAATTTCTGCAAATCGTGTCTACACTTCAAGATCTGGTGCTTCAATGTCTTGATTTGGTTGCAGTCATCCAACTCTTTGCGCAACGAATAACTGATGTGTTGTTCATATAGTTTCTGGAAATGAATCCTTTGCTGTCTCTCTAACTCCAACTCTATCTGCAACTCAACTCTTATATCCTTTTCCCGTTGGATCTCCTTTTGACACTTTTTGTGCACATCTTTGGTGGTGTTGTCTGTCTTTGAGAGACCGTTCAGAACAGTATTGTTTGGATACTTTTTGGCCAACAGTTGGGACCCGAGGAGGAGGTCGTCGTCATAATTGTTGGCCACTATCTCCTCCGCATCGCTCTCGTGGTCTTTGTGTTGGATGTGATGACCACTGCTGTCATCCACTCGTTTGTCTGGCGTCTCATTCATATAGACCTTCTCGATGTGATTCATGTCATCCATATGTTGGTCGTCTTCATCACAGAAGTCTAAGTCAATGACAGTCTCGTTGTCGTCGTCTTCGGTCAACTCAACCGACAGTTTGTCCACAAATGGATTGGTCGGTGACATCGGACCTATTGGTCAAAACAAATACAATTTAGTGTCCAATCAATGCATCCAATGATATGTCATGATATGGTCTCACAAATCAATTCCTCGGTGTCCATCATGTCTTCAGCTAATTGTCTCAACGATTCAATCCATTGTTGTGTTCAGTGTTTGTGTCAATAAAAGCGCTAAACGTTACGAAAGTTTGCCAAAAAGTTTCCCAACTTTACACGCATTGGAAACTTTTGACCGAAGTTTGCGCTCATTTTTGCAATGTTTACATCCCTTACATACAGTCCAGCCTTGTTTTTGTGTACACATAAACAGCTCATACAGTACAAGCACTTTTGCTTGCTCATTTAAATTAGAATAATTAAAAGTTTAGAGATTAGTTAATAATTAGATTTTATTATAATTTAATTGCAATGATAAATTGTGAATTAAATAAATTTAATTAGTGTCACAATATTAAAACATATCTATCTAAAACAAAAAAATAAGTTTTATCAAAACTTCATTTCATTAAAAGTAAATATAAATATTTAATTAATATAATTATTTTAATTGACCAAAATTCGTGTTAAGTTATAAGTGTGATAAAATTATTTCCATTAACTTTTATTATAAAAATAATTGGTCATCGGCTATAATTTAAATATAATAAATATTAATAAATATTTTGTAAATAAAATTAGTTTTTAATTTAATAACATACAATAGCGTTATTTTTACATGTTAATTAATGTAACTAGATTCTAGTTACTAGAATATTCATGAAAGAATAGACTGATACAGTACATCAAGAAAAATATAAACAAGTTTTAATCTATGATAAGGTTCTAGACTTTAGAGCCAGAATATTTTATTTAAATTTAAATAAATCTCATAATTACTTTTTAAATATTATTAAGTTATATCTACTATACTGTACAAAGAATTTATTTAACATTATCTGTAATTAAAGTATTTGTGGAATGTTGCTGGTTGAATTACCAAACTGTTAGAATACTTTAATTTTTAATCTGGGATTAGAAATGCAAAATATTAAGCAAAGCAATGCAAACATTTAATTTAAATACAATTTTGCATAAAGAATTGTCACATGAAATCTACTAATATTAAAACATTTAAGTTTGTCATACAATTGCTTTCAATATTTATCGTATAAACAAATAACTTATGCTTTGATTCTTTGCTTCCCATTT